TCCATTTATATTAAAAATAATGAAGCAGTAACAATAATCCTCCACACGTTGACCAATGTGAGTAGAAATCTCTATAACCTCAAGGCCGGACTCGATGGTATCAACAGTGAGACGGAAATAGCAAAAACAACATTGGAAAAATTAATTGGAATTCAGCGGGAGCATTTGCTCGATTGTATTTTTCGGAGGGCTGAACATGAAAAAAAGATACCAATTTTCACCAGTCGCATTGACCCGTCTGAACTACTTTAAGAAGTCATCTTCACTTTGACACTTAATTATAAATTTAATCACCCCACGACAATCACAAGAAGATATTCGCACGACTATTTACGTTTAAATACATCAATTAATTGATAATTAATGCACCAATGAGTATTTTCGAGATTAAACGAGGCACCTGATGTGAGAGAAGAAATTTTAAAGAAGAAATTAAAAAGAGTTTTAATCTTCTCTGGGTTATCACGATTTAATCTCCATTTATATTAAAAATAATGAAGCAGTAACAATAATCCTCCACACGTTGACCAATGTGAGTAGAAATCTCTATAACCTCAAGGCCGGACTCGATGATATCAACAGTGAGACGGAAATAGCAAAAACAACATTGAAAAAATTAATTGGAATTCAGCGGGAGCATTTGCTCGATTGTATTTTTCGGAGGGCTGAACATGAAAAAAAGATACCAATTTTCACCAGTCGCATTGACCCGTCTGAACTACCTTAAGAAGTCATCTTCACTTTGACACTTAATTATAAATTTAATCACCCCACGACAATCACAAGAAGATATTCGCACGACTATTTACGTTTAAATACATCAATTAATTGATAAATAATGCACCAATGAGTATTTTAGAGATTAAACGAGGCACCTGATGTGAGAGAAGAAATTTTAAAGAAGAAATTACAAAGAGTTTTAATCATCTCTGGGTCTTCGCGACTTAATTTCCATTTATATTAAAAATAATGAAGCAGTAACAATAATCCTCCACACGTTGACCAATGTGAGTAGAAATCTCTATAACCTCAAGGCCGGACTCGATGATATCAACAGTGAGACGGAAATAGCAAAAACAACATTGGAAAAATTAATTGGAATTCAGCGGGAGCATTTGCTCGATTGCGTTTTTCGGAGGGCTAAATGTGAAAATGAGAAGATACCATCTTTCACCAGTCCCCTTGCCCCATCTGAACTCATCTTCACATTGACGCTTAATTATAAATTTAATCACCCCACGACAATCACCAGAAGATATTCACACGACTATGTACAATCAAATACATCAAATAATTGATGAATAATGCACCAATGAGTACTTTAGAGATTAAATGAGGCACCTGATGTGAGAGAAGAAATTTTAAAGAAGAAATGAAAAAGAGTTTTAATCATCTCTGGGTCATCGCGATTTAATCTCCATTTACATTAAAAAATAATGAAGAAGGAACGAAATTGCCACAAATATTTATACCGAATATTCCATATTTTCCTATCCCCAGAGAGTTATAAATGCGAATTAAAGAAGAGGTAAAAATAATCGGGGGATTAGGAAGGGGCCAATTGATAGACAATCTGCATGAAAGTAAAGTGAGAATAAAAATCACATGAATTTGTAATCGAGGAGAGGCTATTTTTGTTCTTAATGAGGATAATGAGGAATGATAAGTGGTTATCCCCACTCTTTATTTATTATCTTCGAGGGGGGATCCTCAGAATGTGACTGTGCACTTCAGTTGGGAGTGACTGTTCGCAGTGTGCATATGTAACAAGTGATAGAGAATTATTATTAGTGGGAGGAAATAGCACTATGGCTTCATCCAAAGGTCCTTACCCCTAATTTACTGTCGTAAATGTCCGGCATTTGGCGGGAGGATTTACTGGCTCATTATTGGGATTATTAAGATTGCAGAGCATGCGGACCAGGATACAGAAGTCCTCTGGCTGCGATGAGAGAGGGATTGAGAGAGAAAATAATCTACGTCGTTTGCCCACACACGGATCCGACGAAGCCTGATGTCCTTGCCACTGTTGATGTCGATCCAGGCAGCTCCACGTATTGCCAAGTACACTTGCTTCGTGAATAATTCAGTAGCGAAACGGTAAAACGGTTGAGTCGATTTTGAATGTCAGGCAGTTTTCAGTGAATATCTCGGAATCTAAGGCGGATAGCAAAATTTTTATTATGAACTTTTTTGTGGAACTCATTGAGAGCTATAAAAAATGTCGTTATAAAAATTTCGGTATCTCCCTTTGATTTGGAGATATTCCTTGATAAATCAGCGCAGAGCTAATTCGACTTGAATTTTTTTACGGCTTCGCTACTGAATTGATAGTGGCGCGAGGGGGGGGGGACACGTGCGAACTTGATAAAAAAATGTAGTGAATCCGCTGGAAAATTGCATTGGATTTCTATTGAATTTTCTGTTAGTTTTTGGCCGATTCTATTAAGAAATTCCAAAAGAAAGTTATTTTTTTTTAGTAGAAATTCAATATTGTTCAATATTCTATGGAAAACATCGATGAAATTTCTTTATACATGTTCTTCTATTGAGATATTTTCTATAAGAGAATTCTTCAGCTCTAATTTTTTGAGTTTTTTTATTTTTTTCTAATGAAATAAGAAAAATGGAGTGGGAAAAACTTGGAAATTTTATGTGAAGGAATTGCTATAAAAAAAGTTTTATTAGAAAAAATTTCATAAAAAGAGGAAATTCTACCGATTTTTCCTACAAAATAGTTTTTATTGAACATTTTCTATTCGTTTTTTTACCGATTCCATCAAAAATTTCGCAGCTTATCTGCTTTTTTTTTAATAAAAAAGTTCAATGAAAAATATTGTATGGAAAAAATCGATAAAATTCGATTTTTTGTGCAAGTTATTCTACTGCGATATTTTTAATACAAATTCCTCGACTCTAATTTTCTAATTCTTTTGTCCAATGTTTTTTAATCAACAGAGAAGAAAGATACAGTGGAAAAAACTTGGAAAATTCATGTCGAAGAATTCCTATAGAACACATTCCAATAGCAAAAGTTTTATGGAACGATGAGATTCTACTGATTTTTTCTATAAAAGTTTCAATCGAAATTTTTTTATAAAAAACGCGCAATTAAATTCTTCACTAGAATCGACCAAAAAACTACTAGAATTTTTCATAAAAGTCCAATAGAATTTTCCATCGAATTCCCTTAGGCTTTTCTATAAAAAAATTTTCTACGTGGAATGGGGAAGAGGAATTATCTCAAAGAATTGTTTTGCAGATTATTCATAAGCTGAAGATGCCCCACGTGGGGGATGAACTCCATCACTCCGGGTGGAATGTTTGTGGCAGTTGTCCTGACATAAAGAAGAAGAGGAACGTCATGGTTTTACCTGCTTTGATGTCCGATAGGATTTATTTCGTGGATACGAAGGAGGAGAGGAAGCCTGTGATCAAGAAAGTAAGTATTTCTGGAAGGTGGTGGAACAACATATACGAAAAAAATTCATATAAAAACCTAGTGAATTCGTTAGAGGTTTTTATTGAATTTTTATTGAATTTACTATTAGTTTTTGGTGGATTCTAATGAAAAATTCTATTAGTTTTTGTTTTGCTTGTTTTATTGAACAATATGCGACTGTACCGTACGTTTGTCAATAGATATTTAAAAGACAACAATAGAAAAAGTCTAAAAATGAAGACCTTTTTTTAATTTTATTGGGAGGACAAAAAAATACAGTAGAAAGAACTTCGAAAATTCATGCTCAAGAATTCCTATAGAAAAATACAAATTTATTGATTATTTTCCATTGAAAATCTCTCAAAATAGAATTAACTCAAAGAATTTCAACAAAATTTCAATAGAATTGTTATTGAATTTTAATAAAAAACCAAGAAAATTTTAAAAAGTGCTAGGTTTTTCTATTACATTTTTAGTAATACGCATGAAAAAATCCATAGTAAAACCTAGCCTACCTAGAGCTCCAATTGAAACTCTGTAAGAATTATATTGAAGTTTTATTACAATTCGATTAAACAATTCTATTAGTTTTTTCCGCTAGTGCTATTGAACATTAGCACCTCTGCGTATTGCAATACTTTTTTAGAAAAATAAAAATCTATAAATGAGAACTTTTTCTATAAGAATTCTTAGGCATGATTTTTCCCATTTTTCTTCATGGACGCAATTATGAAGAAAGTATAAAAATATATTGGGAAAAACTTTGAAAATTTATGCTCAAGAATTTCTGTAGAAAAATCTAAGTCTATTGACTTTTTTCTGTCAAAAATCTATCCAATTAGAATTGGCTGAAAAAACTAGTAGAATTTCAACAGAATTTCAATAGAATTGTTGTTGAAGTTTTATTACAATTCGATTAAACAATTCTATTAGTTTTTTCCGCTAGTGCTATTGAACATTAGCACCTCTGCGTATTGCAATACTTTTTTAGAAAAATAAAAATCTATAAATGAGAACTTTTTCTATAAGAATTCTTAGGCATGATTTTTCCCATTTTTCTTCATGGACGCAATTATGAAGAAAGTATAAAAATATATTGGGAAAAACTTTGAAAATTTATGCTCAAGAATTTCTGTAGAAAAATCTAAGTCTATTGACTTTTTTCTGTCAAAAATCTATCCAATTAGAATTGGCTGAAAAAACTAGTAGAATTTCAACAGAATTTCAATAGAATTGTTATTGAAGTTTTATTACAATTCGATTAAACAATTCTATTAGTTTTTTCCGCTAGTGCTATTGAACATTAGCACCTCTGCGTATTGCAATACTTTTTTAGAAAAAAAATAATCTATAAATGAGGACTTTTTCTATAAGAATCCTTAGGCATGATTTTTCCAATTTTTCTTCATGGATGCAATTATGAAAAACGTATAAAAATATATTGGAAAAAACTTTGAAAATTTATGCTCAAGAATTTCTGTAGAAAAATCTAAGTCTATTGACTTTTTTCTGTCAAAAATCTATCCAATTAGAATTGGCTGAAAAAACTAATAGAATTTCAACAGAATTTCAATAGAATTGTCATAATTTATAGTTTCAACAGAAATTCCCTATGAAATTTTTCCATATGTTTCACCATTTCACTGCACGAAGAGAAATGTACAGTAAAAATTACGGAACTCATACTTCGTTCACCGATTACGGAATCGACTCAGACACTCGACATTCAAGTGACGGTATCGTAATTTTTCACAGGGGATTCAGGTAAAAATTACGGAACGCTCTGGAAAAATTCCGCGACAGTTCCGTAAAATTTCCTACAATCACATTTCGCTCCGGAATTACGGAAAAGATACGTGATTTTTATTGAATATTTCTCTCCGTGTGGTATTTTACTAGGTACTGGGGCCTGAAGCATTGCATCACCAGGGACTAGCGGCTCCCCACACCGCCCACTGTTCCCCCACGGGGGAGATAATAATATCAACAATGGGGAGGCCAAATGGCGATGGAGTGGGTGATTTTTTCCGCGTTGATAGTGAGACACTCTTAGTCAACGGGACGTGGACGAAGGGGGAGAAGAAAGCCCAATTTGGGTATGACTTCTGGTATCAGCCGTATCATGATACCCTTGTATCCACCGAGTGGGGGGTCCCGAGAGTCTTCAAGAGGGGGTGGGCTAATGGAGATAGTGCTGATCCTCGTAAGTGTGGGAATAATCATATTTATGAGGAGATAAGTTTTCAATGGGGTTCTTCACTTTTCCTTTTGAAGAATCGAAGGATGACTTTGATTTTCGACTTTTCCGTTGGGACACAAATCGGTTAATTAATCAATTAATTAATTAATTTATTTATTTATTTATTCATTTATTTATTTATTGCTGCATACAGATCCAACAGCCGTCAGGCCAATGATAGGGTCAAAAGAAAACAGAATATTTACAAAATATTACATAGTTATGAAATATGTTTCAAGAATAAATTAACAATAATTAATATATGAATTATTCACTTTTGTCATCAGTTTTGTTTCTGAATGGAATCTGTATCTGTCTGATTTTGTTAAATTAAAACGTTAAATTACTTTTTTCATACAATAACTGGTTTCCGAAATAGTTTCACAATTGACAAAATGGATCGTCATCTATTTTCTTTCGATTCTAAGAATGAATTTTCGGGAAAATAGTTTATTATTGTAAACTTCCCTCAAGTTCTTTCTTTATAATAAAACAACTTCGTTTTCTCATTCATTCGGTGACTAATATGTTATGAATATCATAGTACTTTAGCCATTTTTTCTTCAGTGAAATGCTTTTCTACTTTTGTAGTCGAACGTCAGAGCTTTCATTTGTGCCCCTTTTGACCCTAATTTTCCAGACACTTTACCATGATTTTATTATTTAAACTTTGCAGGTCTGAATTTGAATCTCAATATTGAACCCTTAGAAAACATTTTAAAAATCTGAAAAAAAATTAGAAAGTTTTAATCAATTTTCACACAAAAATCATTTGTTCCGAATCGTAAAATATTTATTCACATTCACAATTTTACCAGAAATCGATTTCATGCCTAAGAAAATTAGGTTCCGAAAGTTTAAACATTTTCAATTATTTAGTTATAAACAACGAATGTTTAAAAAAATAGTAATTCCAAAAATTGCAAAATATAATTTTAATGACGCTGAATATTCACGATTTTTTTTTCAAATTCTTCTCATGCAATTTAATTGACAAATTTGATGATTGGAAATGTTTGAATCTAATGTGGTCTGTGGTTCATACTAAACTGTAAAAAATACTGGGATATCCTTGAATAACATGAGTTAAAACTCTAAATTTTGGAGTGAGTCAACTAAAAACTAGTGAATTTCCGGACAGTGGTATACGGAAGAAGTTTGAATATCTTCTCCTGGAGTAAGCAAACCTTGGAGCAAGTGATTAACCTTGGGGAGGAGGGAATAGCACCCCTGGAGATAAGATTTCTCCACGAGCCCACAGCCAGTGAGGGCTACGTGGGATGCGCGGTCGCCTCCAATATTTTCCGGTTCTTCAAAAAGGAGGATGGGAAATGGGACGCCGAAAAGGTCATCGATGTACCTGCGAAGAAGGTCGAAGGCTGGGTCGCACCGTACATGAATGGTAAATCTTTAAGCAAACATCCAAAACTCATCTGCAAAATCCTTTAAATCAACTCCAGCTGTCGACAACAATATTATTTTCGATAATATTTTCACCGATATTATGTAGTATTTGATCAAGGCCCGGATGGATAATCTTTCGAACGTTATCTCGATTGTTTTTCCACCTTCGTAATCTAAAATTTTACGCGATTTTCTTTGAATTTTACTCACGTAGAAGTCTCATCCCAAACCAATTCATCCCACGACAATTTCATTCCAAACATCAAATTCCAATGGAATTTCTCACGATCACAACAATGATTCAGGTAGAGAATAGTATATTGTGCATCAAGGGCGGAAAGTCATGTTTTCCCGCCTGAGGGAGTAAAATAAAAAAATTAAAAAAAATAAATAAAAAAATATTAAGCTAAAAAAATAAAATATTAAAAAAAATAATAATAATATTAAATAAAAAAAAATATTAAATTTATTTTCACAGAAAAAGGCACTAATCGAACATCAAAATCAATCAGGTACTTCACGATTCTCTCCGAGAGCGTGTATCTCAGAATGCCATGAATGACAAAATTTAGTATTCGAAGGAAATATCGATTGAATAATAACAACACCAGACGGTCAACACTGCTAATCCGATAAGTGATGCGCTTTAGCCAAGCGTATTTTTCATCCGGTAATAATTAAAAAATGGGACGAAACGGTCGTGGGATGAACTTGTTTTGGGATGAAATTGTTTGGGATGAGTTGTCATGGGATGAGTTTGTGAGATGAATTATCCTGGGATGAATTAACCGGATACCAGTCCTTAAAAATTATACATATGCAATAAAAAACGTAGAAAAAAATGAACATTTTCAAAGAGCATTTTTAATGAAGATTAGAAAATAAATCGGATAGAGAGGAAATTGTAAATGTATAATTAGTGTTCCATTATTCTTGACAAAAATGAGTCGAATTTTATTTCATTAATCATCAATGTCAAAATGGAAATGAATAGTGGATATTTATTCATTTGTCGATCTCTGCTCAACTAATCAATCTTCCTTCCCCTCATTTTTTTTATATCTTGCAATATGAGAGAAAATGGAAAAGTTCCCATCAATATTTTTCTTCTAACTCTTAATCTAGAAAAAAAATGAAGACCTGAAAATTATGCTTTTTTCAGTTTTCAAGATTTTTTCAATCACTACATAAAAAAAATATTACTAATAGTATTACAAAATTACTGGAATTTTCTGTCACTGACCATTAATATTGAAATTAAGAATGAATATTATTCAATTGCCAAACTCTGCTCAACTAATCAATTTTTCTTCCACTCATTTTTTTATATATCTTGCAATATGAGAGAAAATGGGAAAATTTTTATCAATATCTTTCTTGTCGCTCTCAATCTCTACAAAAATAACCGGAAATTTAATGAAATTAATAATGAATAATGAATATTATTCATTTGTCAAGCTCTGTTCAATGAATCAATCTTCCTTGCACTCATTTTTTTAGATCTTGCAACATGAGAGAAAATGGAATTTTTTTAAATGAAATTATTAAAATTTAATGAAGTTAATAATGAATAGTGAACATTGTTCGTTATTCACTTTTTTGTTTAATAGATATCTTAAAATCAAAGAAAAAATAGGAAAATTTTTCATCAATATCTTTTTTGTAGCCCTTAATCTCTAAAAAAAATATTAAAGACCTGAAAGTTTTGCTATTTTCTCTCAGATTCAAACATATTTTGAAAAAGGTAAATAAATAAAAACTCATTACAATCATTTGGTTTTTCAGGAATGATAACAGACATTCTGATAAGTCTTGACGACAAATACCTGTATTTCAACAATTGGCTCCACGGGGACGTGCGACAGTACGACATAACAGACCGTAGAAACCCGAAATTAGTCGGCCAAGTGTTTCTGGGTGGATCGATCCTCTCAGACTCGAAAGTCCGTGTCGTTGATGATAAAGAATTGAAGGCCCAGCCAGAGCCGGTGTTTATCAAAGGGCGCAGGCTGTATGGCTCACCTCAGATGCTCCAATTGAGTCTCGATGGACGGAGACTCTACATCACCACCGCTATTTTCAAACCGTGGGACGTCCAGTTCTATCCTGAACATGTCAAGTAATTTTTTAATCTCCATCGATTGAGATAACTCGCTATTCAGCTAATTTCGCCATTTCAGTAGCGAAGTGGTAAAACGGTACAAGTTAATTTTGACTATTGACCAGTTTTCGATGAATATCTCGGAATCAAAGGGAGATAGCAAAATTTTTATTATAACCTTTTCTGTAGAACCGATTGAGAGCTACAACAAATGTAATTACGAAAATTTCGCTATCTCCCTTAGATTCGGAAATATTCCTCAAAAACCCAACTGGGACATAAGTTGACTTGAACCGTTTTACCACTTTGCTACTGAATAGTACTGTCAAGTGAATTCTCTAGGTTTTTCTTTTTTTTTATTTAAGCATTTTTTCTTATTTAAGCAGTTTTTAAAAATTTTATTTAAGCATTTTGACTATTGACCAGTTTTCAATGAATATCTCGGAATCACAGGGAGATAGCAAAATTTTTATTATAACCTTTTCTGTAGAACCGATTGAGAGCTACAACAAATGCAATTACGGAAATTTCGGTATCTCCCTTAGATTCGGAAATATTCCTCAAAAACCCAACTGGGACATAAGTTGACTTAAACCATTTTACCACTTCGCCACTGAATAGAACTATCGAGTGAATTCTCTAGGTTTTTCTTTTTTTTTATTTAAGCAGTTTTTAAAAATTTTATTTAAGCATTTTGACTATTGACCAGTTTTCAATGAATATCTCGGAATCAAAGGGAGATAGCAAAATTTTTATTATAACCTTTTCTGTAGAACCGATTGAGAGCTACAACAAATGCAATTACGAAAATTTCGCTATCTCCCTTAGATTCGGAAATATTCCTCAAAAACCCAACTGGGACATAAGTTGACTTAAACCATTTTACCACTTCGCCACTGAATAGAACTATCGAGTGAATTCTCTAGGTTTTTCTTTTTTTTTATTTAAGCAGTTTTTAAAAATTTTATTTAAACATTTTGACTATTGACCAGTTTTCAATGAATATCTCGGAATCTAAGGGAGATAGCAAAATTATTGTCATAACCTTTTCTGTAGAACCGATTGAAAGCTACAACAAATGCAATTACGAAAATTTCGCTATCTCCCTTAGATTCGGAAATATTCCTCAAAAACCCAACTGGGATATAAGTTGACTTAAACCATTTTACCACTTCGCCACTGAATAGAACT